CCTTAAGGAACCATGTGCCTGGAAGATCGTAGCTGTTATGGTTAACCTTATTAGCATTCATACCTGTCGATACACCTTCCGTTCAATAAAGCCTAGTCACCTGCTCCAAAGAAAATGTTTAAAGGCAACTGCCTATGTTTTCGGGCTTTATTGGCGGAGTTCCCGTTAGAACGCTCTATTAACCCACACTCCTTTTGCGTTAGAAAATTCTGTGTTGGTACAGATAGGCTCTAGGCGTTTTCTACTCATTTCCGCCTAGAAATGATTTGAGCAACAATTCTTCTTAAACACCTGTCCCCAGCCCCGAGGAAAGCAGCGTGATGAGTAAGCGTAGGCTGCAGCAGACGCCTGCAACTGAGTGGAATTGTTTTCGTACCGTTGCTTACGGCCGTCAGCTTTACCGACACAAGGCACAAGCTAGAGCTTTTGAGTTGAAGACTTCGAAGACAATTTTTTTCTCCCAGCCGTGTGCAGAACCTGCGTTTGCTCTAATAACCGCTGTAATTCGACACCTATAATTTACTGAAGATAGCAGCAAGGTCATGTACACTTCACCAAAAATGTTGTTTATTCAGTTTTCAGTTTATTTTGTGAGGGCAGGAGGCAATGACTTTGAAAACCCTATTGATAACCTAGCGAACGCGTAAAATTTTTACCAATAAAATGGTATTGACAATCAGTGAGTAGTATTGTTTTTACAAATAACTCTTGTCTCATGATTGTGTGGTGTGGCGTTAGCATGTCGTAACATGTGCTGATTCTAGAATTTACACCACCGGTGGCAGTAATAATATTTGTAGTAAAATTCTTGTTAGTAATATTAGTATAAGAGCTAAAATTTTATTATGACGAGGCTCTCCGGGCCTAAGATATAAAATTTATTTATTATGTGTAGTGCTAGCATTTGTAGCGGAAAAGTCTACAAATATCTAAAACGTCTTAGCAAAGATGCAACGAAAATCTTTCTAGTGTAGAGCTAACCGCTAGTAAGTAATCTACCCCACTACACAAGTGGAAAAGGGCGTAAGGACTGTATACAAAAATGACAATGAAAAATAGGAACGATACGACTCACTTGGATCATCAACGATCCTTGTCAGCAGTAGCCAAGAAATTGACTTGCCAAAGGATGGAT